GGAGACAGAACTTCTATCAACTACTTTTGGTGAATTTGAAGTTGGTTTTTAATTCCCCTTGCTCACCCTTTACTTCCCCCACCCCCTGCCCCCCAACCCAGACGAGATACTCTGAACCTCTTAGAGAAAAACTGTTTATCATCAAGTTTCAAAAAGAAAAAAGTTGTTAAAGGCCTGGCCCTCTTAGCTGGAATGACATGGGCAATCTCCTTGTCATTCCCATTTTAGGGCCTGGCCTGACACAGCCGTCTCTCCATGGATCCTTCCCAACGCCTTTCAGTGCCGCAGGGCAGGGCCCGAGAGCATCCTCTAGTTAGCGAGCTGGTAGCAGATCGAGTTTCAGGGCCCCGGGCGATGTGCACTGCCGAGACCGCCTGGCGTCCCCTGCGTCTTGTGCGGGGCAGATGAAAGAGGCGGCTGCAGGCACTGCTGGGTGCTCTGGCACGCCCACACAGAGCAGCCTGTTCCTGCAGACGCTAGCCGAGGGCGGGGACGAGGGACGGGCCGTTGGTGACATGAGAATAGAGGACTTGGCAGCTGGAAAAGTTGATGCGTGTACCCTTTCATTGGAGGCCCTTGCTTCCTTCCACTCGTTTTAATTGACTGCCCCGTGGTTGCTTGTGGTATGAGGTTGGGAGCATCGATTACCTTTGTTCTCACCCTCTCTCCGTATTTTATGTAGACCGGTGTGTTCCCATCGAGCCTGAATTTAATTTCACGAGCTATGTAGGACACTTAGGAAGTATGAGTTGATGATAATATCTGGCTTTCTGCATTTTGTCATATTTTACCATCTGTGCAACACATGGAAAGTGTGAGATTTCTGTTTCTTTGCATGAGAGATATTATGGAGGGCATAGGCATACAAGATAAAAACTCGTCTCCTCAGGATCATCACTGCCACCAGGAGGCCTTAACCTGGGACCTATAGCCATCGGGGGAATCGATGGCACGATTCGAGGGCTCCTTGAACAGACTGAAGTTACATGCAAATTTTTGTGTATAAATTCTTGTTTGCATTTTTCTGGAGAGTTTTCAAGGCGTGTGAAACCAAATCATGATTAAGGATGACTGAATAAAGATTTCAAGATCCTGAAATTGAACTAGCTATATCTTCTAAGCAAGGCTTACTATATTAGTGTTCATTTCTTTCGGTTTTAAGGAAATTGCCTTGAAAATCCTGTTTTAAAACAAGCCTATAACTGAACGTCATTCTGCCTTGGTCATCTGATTGAGGACTGACGTGGTTACCTTTTATGCACTGCATGCTGTGTGGGAACTGAAAGAAGACAGAAGGGCGCCATCTAGAGGCCTGAACAAAAATCTCACCACTTTCCCATCAGGCCCAGGCCTCCTCCCTACCTGGGGGTCTTCAGTTGTAGTAACTCTTTTTTTTTTTTTAAAGGGGCGCCTGATTGGCTTAGTCATTAAGCATCTGCCTTCGGCTCAGGTCATGATCCCAGGGTCCTGGGATCGAGTCCCACATCGGGCTCCCTGCTCAGTGGGAAGCCTGCTTCTCCCTCCCCCACTCCCCCTGCTTGTGTTCCCTCTCTCGCTGTCTCTCTCTCTGTCAAATAAATAAATAAAATCTTTAAAAAAAAATAAATAAAGTAGGCTCCATGTGCCAGCGTGGAACCCAACATTGGGGCTTGAACTCATGACCCTGAGATCAAGACCTGAGCTGAGACCAAGAGTTGGACGCTTAACCGACTGAGCCACCCAGGCACCCCAGTTGTAGTAACTTTTTTAAAATTAGGAACATTTTTTTCCTCTCAAGTAACTGCAGATCACAAAGGTGTGTGTCAAAGATATTTATAATCTATACAAATGCTCCAGGTGTGGGGTGTAGCCTGGCTACTTTGGAAACATAATTTTAATAAAAGTATAATGTTGTAGATGGCATTTACTCTTTCATAGGCATATAGGTTTTAGGATCTACACTGCATTTGAATATACTTTTAATTATAAATTATAGCAAGAACAAATTGATGCCTGCTATAAAATCATGTTGATATAGGGACTTTTCTTTTTGTATTTTCTTTTAAAGCAAGAACAAATTTAGAATTGAGTACATTGTCTTAATTACTCTTTGTTTTCTTTTTAATATGGTGATTTAGAATGGTGTTTGCCACATGGTGCAGAAACGGTGGGGTTGCAGAGTTGAATTCACTCTGGAAAAATAGATCAAACAGGATTTATATCCACATGAAGATGTATCACGGGTGGTTAGAAGCCTGTCTCTGTAGCCCCAGCCCTGCCATTACTTCGCAGTGTCGAGCACGTTCACTTGTTTCTTCTTTTATACAGGAGGCTAATAATAGAAGCTAATTTAGGGTTGTTGAGAGGAGTAAATGAAATAAAGTTGTTAAGCACAGTGCCTTGGACATAAAAAGTCTTTTAAAATTAGCACTGATTGGTTACTACTGTCCTCACTGGCCAGTCTTATTTTCAGGACCAATGTCATGAAATGGAAACCGTTTTAAAACCTGTATCTTACAGAGAATTCTATAGTGTTTTTTAAAATACCTTTTTTTTTTAATTGAAACATAATTGGCATACATCACTGTAGTGGTCACAGGTGGACAACATGGTGATTCAGCATTTACACTTACGGCGTGATCGCCGCGAGGATCTCGCTACCATCTCTCTGTGGCTGGGTGAGGTTATGCTATCCTCACCTGTATTCCCAGTGCTGTACATTGCTTCTTCACTTCTTTATAACTGGAAATGTGTGCCTTTTAGTCCCCTTCCCCAACTCACTCGCCCCCTCACCCTGCTCCCCAGAATTTTACAGTTTTAAAAAGCATTTCACAAACACAATCTCGTTTGACTAGAGTTTCAATAAATATTGATTCATATACTCAATAGCTATTGATTGAGCGCCAGTTAGGTATAATCACCGTCTCTGGTATTGAAGGTTTGGTACCAGAAACATAGGTAAGAAAGACACGGGCCTTACATTGTGGCGAGGGAGCTGGACAATAAAGAAGTAAACCAGATAGCTTCAAAAGAAGTCGTTTGCATGGAGAAAATTCATGTGGTGGCATAGAGGGTGACCGGAGGCCCACTTGAGAGGGACGAGGTGGCAGGGAAGAGCTTTCTGAGGAAGTGGCATTTAAGTCTTCTCCTGAGTGACAAGGAGTCAGCCATGTGAGGTCCGAGGAAGCAGTGAGTGGAAAGGCCGCTGGTGGAAATGTGCTAGACACGTGCACAGTCCAGAGAGGATGCTGGTGCCTCCGGGGCTCCATGAGCCAGGAGGAGTGTGGCAGGAGGCGAGGCCAGGGGCAGAGATGTGGGCCTGGGGGACGGGGACGTCGGACTTCATTCTCTAGGTTGTGGGAAGAGACTGGAGAGTTGTAGGCAAGGTGGTGCTAACTCAGATTTATGTTTTAGAAATATGCCCTTTGCTTCTCTATGGAAAACAAGTTGTAAAGGAGCAAGGGTGGACATGGAAAGACCGGCCAGGAGACTTTTGCAGTAGTCTAGGCCAGGGATGCTGGTGGCTTGGATGAAGAGGCTAAATTACTGGCTAGGAGTTCGGATCCTGCCCACAGCTCTGCGCAGTCCACAGGCAGCCTAGCGCGTGGTTAAGGGCAGCAGCTGAAGCATCAGACTGTCGTCGGGTTTGAGACCTGACTTCTATGAGATCTTGGACACATTTCTTGATTTCTCTGTGCCTCTTTTTTACCATCTCTGAAATGGCAGTGATGATGGGACCTTCCTGCTAGGATTGCCGTGAGGTGTAGATGAAAGAAGAGTAGTTGTTAAGTGCTCCAGAGAGTGTCCGTTAGTGCTGCTCGCTCTTGTCTTCGCTGCCACCACCAAACACAAGGACTCCTCCCTCATCATCCTCTACCCCCAGTTTACACTTGAGAAAACTTAGAGAGTGGTTTTGAATTCGGAATATAGGGTTCTTGATTGTGAATCCATTGTACGTTCTGTAACATAATATCTAGTATGAACCGTCAAAGAAAAATACTGATCTGAATGTCTGTAGCTCAAGAGCCCAGTTGTATGCACCTGTGAATGTTTTTTTTTTTTGATTTTTTTTTAAATTTATTTATTTGAGAGAGAGAATGAGAGAGAGAGAGCAGGAGAGGGGGGAGGGTCAGAGCGAGAAGCAGACTCCTCGCCGAGCAGGGAGCCCGATGCGGGACTCGATCCCGGGACTCCAGGATCATGACCTGAGCCGAAGGCAGTCGCTTAACCAACTGAGCCACCCAGGCGCCCACACCTGTGAATGTTTAAATACACATTGAGAAAATGACAAATAAGGCCAGCAGCGGAGTCCCAGTGTGTAGGAAGGAGTATCCAGAGCCTCTCTCCCCCACAGCTTGGACCACTGGAAATTTAAATTCTGAGGTTTGAAGAGAGCTCTGGACACCAAGCCAGAAGCATTAGTAGGCACGTAGTAATACATATAGGAAGGTAGAACTGAATGTTTTGAGGACCTTGTAAGATATTGAATCTCTTTAAGGGACATTCAGTTTTTGTTTTTTTTTTTAAGATATATTCATTTTAGAGAGAGAGTGAGCACATGTGGGAGGGGCAGGGAGAGGGAGAGAATCTCAAGCAGAGTCCGTGCTGAGCCTGGAGCCTGACGTGGGGCTCCATCCCACCACCCTCAGATCAGGACCTGAGTCAAAACCAAGAGTCAGATGCTTAACTGACTGCACCACCCAGGTGCCCCCAGAGGACATTCAGTTCTTTATTAATTGCATTGAATGGGGCCGTACATAATATAAATAAGTGAGACCCAGGGATTATCCCTAAACTGTCTGGTCAGACTTTTAATGAAGGTATTAACCCAACTTTTCTTCGCCTCTTCCTGCCTTTGCCCGTTCCCTTGTGGAGTAAGCAGTGATATAGGTAAGGAGCAAGCAAGGGAAATGAGAGGCAAGGAGCCGAAGAGTCCATCTACTTGCCTTGCCTCCAGTTCCTCAGCCGCACCGGTGCCCCCCTCGCTGAGACTGAAGGCGGCCCCTTTGTGTCTGTTGCAGAGTGTGAGCACCTGATCCGCCACATGCTGGTGTTAGACCCGAACAAGCGCCTCTCAATGGAGCAGATCTGCAAGCACAAGTGGATGAAGCTGGGGGACGCGGATCCCAACTTTGACCGGGTGAGCTGAGTTCTGCTTGCCTCTGGGAACTCCACTCAGAGCTCTCTCTTTTGCATGAGATTGTAATTAGGCCGCGACTTGCAAAGGGCGGGTGCTGGGAGCAAACTGTGATGTGTTACTGAAGCAGCAAGGGAAGCAAGCAGGAGGGAATTTTAAAGCCGCTTGAGTTGTTGGAGAGTAGTGATACCAGTTGCCTACCACTTGCCCCCAAATCATAGTCCCTCCTTGGCTTTTGAAACCGTATAGCCCACATTCCTGCCGCTAATCGACCACGGGGATAGCTCTTTCCTCTTGTCTTTGTGTGTTCAGTTCAGTGGCTTCTGCATCATAGCTTTATTTAAACCATTTTGGCCATCCCAAAGGACCTCAGCAAAACAGGGATCTTGTCTGCCTACAGCTGAGTACCTAGAACTTTCTTGCTTAGGCTTTGTCTGAGGCCAAAAATATCCCAAGCTAGGGGCATGGAACAGCTAGTTCCTTATAGACCATCTGCCATCACGACATGGTTAACTGGGGCTTTGATAGCTTGCCTCTTTTTAATGTCACAGTTAATAGCTGAATGCCAGCAGCTGAAGGAAGAAAGACAGATAGACCCCCTGAATGAGGACGTCCTCTTGGCCATGGAGGACATGGGACTGGACAAAGAGCGGACGCTACAGGTATCCCTAAAGGCGTGGAGGACAAAGCGAGGGGTAGCCGTATTCCCTCTGTCCTGCCTTTTCCACTCTTTTCTCCTTCCTGAGAACTTTCCCTTTTCTCCCTGTTCTTCTTCCTCCGCCCCTCTCTGAGCCTTGACAAGAAGGTGCTTTGGTCTTCTAATGTACTGTTGAGAGGGTTTTGTTATTGACATGCCGTTTCACCAGGGTTTTTTACTCTTTTCCCTTCTCCCTTGGTAGTCGTTAAGATCAGATGCCTATGATCACTATAGTGCAATCTACAGCCTGCTGTGTGATCGACATAAGAGACACAAAACCCTGCGTGTTGGAGCACCTCCTAGCATGCCCCGAACCATGGCCTTTCAAGCACCAGTCAATGTCCAGGTGGGCAATAACTCCAGTGACCTGAATCGGGACAAGTAACACAGGGGAGGGAGGGGATGGTTAGCCAGCGCTCACTAACTCACTCCAGGAGAGTTTCCTGTTCTTCCTTACCTCCGTCCCCTCCTATCTGTCACCTCTTCCTTTGTCAGAGGTCAAGCAGAGGTCAGAACCTTTTTCTTTGACAGAGAGGATGGAAGGGTATTCCAGTACTCAGGATGGGCAACAAGAGTTGCTTTTTTTTTTTTTTTTTTTTAAAGAAACAGCCAATCATTGATAGAGACTGTTTTCCCTAAAGAATGCTTCCTTGTTGTAGCTTCTAAGGGCAGAGGAACCAAAGACTCAGAGGTAGAAACATAGACTTTAGCAACCAAGAATCCTTTGAAAGACCATCATTATTTCCATCTAGCATGTAAGATAAGAATGTATACGTATGTGCTACTTTCTAGGCGGAGCAGGCTGGTACCACTATGAACATCAGCGTTCCCCAGGTGCAGCTGATCAACCCAGAGAACCAGATCGTGGAGGCAAGTAGTGACCTCGGACAGCTGTCAGCCGAAACCACTTTCTTCCCCATATCTTTGCTTCCTTTCCTGGCTTCTCATTTCGAACTCCTCTTTATTTCTAATTGGATTGTATTTCCTTTACCTCAGCCGGACGGGACAGTGAACTTGGACAGTGATGAGGGTGAGGAGCCCTCCCCTGAAGCACTGGTCCGCTATTTGTCCATGCGGAGGCACACAGTGGGCGTGGCTGACCCACGGTGAGTATCTGGCCGACAGCCCTGATTAATTCCATGGCAGAGAATTCCCACCTGACTTTGAGTTCCTACCATGGCTCATTTTCCCTACTTCGTTATACCTCCTAGATGAGATCGAA